TGCGGCTTTTTTTGAGCCACATCAAAAGAGAAGCGCGGCGGCGGGATCAGACAGATCCCCCGAGCAGCCGCGCATAGGCTCCCCATGCGCGATCAGATGTGAGGGGGAAGCCATGGACAGTAGAGCGAGGTGAGGCAGCTGTGCATGTGTGGGCCTGCACAGTTTGGCAGGGGGCCTCGTATGCTGCTGGAGACGGGCGCGCCAGCGATCACATGGCTGCCCCTGTTGCAGATTTTCTGGTAAGTAGTAGTGTTTTGTAGGGGTTTTTTAAATCCGCATCTTCGGCTGGAAGAGACGGATCGGGGACGGGTGCGCGCTGCTTCCCAGATGTTGCGGTGTGATCGCGCCCGCTTGATGCGCCCCCCGATCCATCCCTCTCGCGGATCAAAGCCTCCCGTGTGACCGGGGCCTCTGTTTCAGTGTATCTGAAGACGTGAGCATGCACGTAAAAGCTTCTACCCAGAATAAGACTTTGTTGGTTTTAAAGGTGCCACTGGATTGCAACTTTATTTTTTAGTTAGCAACTGTCTTGTTGTTAATTTTACTTAGTGTGCCTAGATCTTATCTTTTTTAGTACCCTGCATTTGTACCTTGTGGAAATAAAGTCTGTTCAACTTGAGAGAGTCTGCACAAGTCCTTACTCACTTGCCTGGCCACGTGCTGCCTCGGTCTCATTGTCCTTTGCACAAATCTCCCCCCCTGCCTCCCTCCTTCACCTCTGCCCCATTGCTGCCCCCATTGGTGGCATCAGTTCTGTGCTCCTCTGATTCCTGCGCTCTAGGCAGTCACCTAGGTTGGCCTAATGATAGCACCAGCCCTGACTATAAAGCTCCTCTTTATTTTTGCAGCAACAGACTACCGTAGCTATCCCACCAGCAGATTTTCAGTAGCTCAAAATAAATCTTCTGCTCATTGGGAACAAAGGTCCAGTTGTATCTGTTGTATGAATTTAAAGAGCTAATGCTGCCTTGGGCATTATAAATAGCTTATTAGTTTATTTAGAAAGTATGCTGTTTCTCTAGATATGCTTGAGTTTGCTCACAAAAAAATAAAATCAAGTAATCACAGTGTAAGAGACAAGCTATAAAGTCACAGTGTAAAACAGCTAGGGCATAAAAACATAAAACAAGCAGCTTAAAATGACCTTAATGAGGCAGTCCTTCAGACTAGATGCAGACCATAAAAACGGCAAAAAGAAACTAAATGGTCGGTTAAAAGCCTAAGTAAAAAGAAAATATTTGGCTTGGTACCTAAAGGAGAGTAGGATAGATGCAGGGGAACCTCAAACTGAAGGGATTCCAGATGCAAAGTGCCACCACTGAAAAAGCCATGTCACTGGACACCAAACTCCCTCACCTCTGTAGGCAGGGACACAGAAAGAAGAACTTGAGAAGAGGCTCTTAACTGGCAACTAGCTGGATGGTACAGGAGAAGGCAATCCTTCAGCTTAGTACCCTGGCCCCAAGCAGTTTAGGGCCTTCAAAGAGGAAATCACTATGAATTGACTCTGGGCACTTTTATACACACTAAATAACACACTTTCAATGCACTTTAAAAATGGATTTTGCTGTGTGAAATGGCAAAATCCACTTGCAAATGGTTCCTGAAGTGTACTGAAACTGCATTGTTTAGCATGTGTGATTACAGCCTCTGTGAATACTGAATTCAGATGTAAGGATAAAGGCTTTAAGATATAATAGTAGACAAGCTTTGGCATTCCTCTTGATTGGAAACTCAATTCCACTCCTTTCTCCCCATGCATGCAACTTGGAAACTGAGGATTTCCTGGTTATACAAAGCACAGTTTGTGGTTATAGGTGAATCACAAACCAAAGATAATTTCTTGGTCATGAACCACAATTTCAGTGAAGATTTAAACCATTAGCATATCTGTAGGATAACTAAAATCTGAAAGGCATCTTTTTCTTTAATTGTACCGGATTCAGATATTAATGTCTCCTGTTCCTTGTGACGGAACTACAGCTGCACTATTTTCCTTTTTTGATTAATCAGGCAGCTGTTGCAATAAGGCAGCTGCTGATATTGGGTTACCTGGAGATCTTCTAGCATTACAACTGATCTCCAGAATACATACAGAGATCAGTTACTCTGGGGGAAAATGGCTGCTTTGGAGGGTGGATTCTATAACATTATACACTGTTGAGATCCTTCCCCCTCCCCAGGCTCCACCCCTACTATCTCCAGGCATTCCCCATCCCAGAGCTGACATAACAACCCTAGCCCCCAGCTTTCCTGCAGGTTTTGTGTAGGCCAAACATGAACTCTCACAGAAGTGAAAGCATAAGTTATGGCTCTTGGACAACTAGAGTTCTGAAACATAATAATGCAGGGGTAGGCAATGTACAGACTGCAAAACATGCACCCCCTGCTAAGACTTTTCCAGACTTTCTCTGTGATAGGATTTCCAACCTCCAGGTGGGCCCTGGAGATCTCCCAGTACTCCAGCTGATATCTAAGTAGGGTTGCCAGGCCCCCTGTCCGGGTGGGGGTTCCTCTGTTTTTGTGGGGCCCTTCACACCACCAGTCAGTTGGTGATGTCATTGCAGTGCATGCGCTCTGCATGCACACCAGAAGATCCTGGGACAGACCCTGGAGCCCCTTGCCAGCAGCCAGGTAGGACCTGGTAACCCTATCTCCAGGCTATAGAGATCCAAGGAGAAAATGGCTGCTTTGGATGGTGGGCTATATGGTATTATACCCCACTCAGGTCCCTCCCCTCCTCACATCCTACCCTACCCAGGCTCCACCCTCAAATCTTCTGGAATTCCCCAACCTGGAGCTGGAAACACTATCTGTGAATGAGTGCCTGGCCAGTGAGTCCTCATGTATTAGCAGCATGGTAATGCACAAGCAGTGGGAAGCCCCCCCCCCCGCCTCTCAAACAGGAGATGTCTTTGATTTGGTCCTTGTGGGGAGCAAGCAGCAATGCACAATGCTCTGGCATGCAGCCACATACAGTGTGGCAAGAAGCACTTGATGAGATTTATCTTTTTCTACGAAATGACCCCTGGGCACCCCTATGCTGAAAGGAGGTTCTCTAGAATACTGGACATTATTTCCAAAACACTTATCTTGTTATGTAAACACTGGCAAGTTATCCAGCAATGGATGAACAAAACAAAATGATTTCTGTCCATTCCTACTCAAAAGCTTTACCTTATCAGAAATGTAAGCAATGCAAATAAAATACTAACAGTATTGTTCCTGAGAGACAGTTTCATTCAAAGCACTGTACTGCCAAGAAAGGTTATCACTCAGAGAAAGGTAGATTGCATGGGTCAAGTTGGCAGGCAAAGCACAGGAGCTTCATGTAACTTGATCTTGAGGAAGGAAGAGGTCTCTGGGTGACCATTCTGGAGGCTAAGGGAGGATTGTTCCAATGTCACTCCAGGTCAGCATCTCTAACCTCTGTGCTGGCCACACCCTCTTTTTTAGGACCGATGAAAGGGAGGAGGTTATTCTTGCTAGTATTTGTGCTGTAGGAGCAAGGATGCTGGCACTGGGTGCAGCCACAGCTTCAGAAATTGTGACACCACAAGAGCTGGTCCTGTCCTGCAACTTTCCCTGTATAGTAGCCATTATTACTGTATTTGAGATGCAAAGAGTGTGAAAAGTATACTGAAAATATACTATGTCAGAATAACACATTTCATTTTACATTTTTGTCACTCTCTCCTATAATAACTTGGATCTCTGAGTGCTGCTTTGAGAAAGACAGGCAGAAACTAAAAGAGGCACCTTTTAATAGACTCGTCTCTTGTGGAGAGGAAGCAAGGTTATTCCACTGCACATTTTATCTATAAAAGGATGCTGAATTCATAAGAGAGGCTAAACTGCCTGGGAAGACTGAACAAGCTGGACTCAGTTTTAGAGCCTGTTTTGAATGCTGTCACATGTCTGGAACATGCAAAATTGTAGTGAAGACTGCATCTGAGCATGTATAGAGGTCATTTCAGTCTCCATTAAGTAATCACAGACCACTCCACAGATTTGGGATGAGGAAATAGACTTTTTGGTCTGTGCAGTTTTCTGGCAGACTTCAGTGCTTGATGGCAGAAATTAATTTCAGCTGTCAACGAACATTGACAACAGAAGGTTAATCAGCCGTCCATCAACTAACCTAATCTCCCCTCAAACAATAAAAGAAGAAGACGAAGAAGAAGAGATTGGATTTATACCCTGCCCTTCACTACCCAAGGGGGTCTCAGAGCGGCTTACAAACTCCTTTCCCTTCCCCTCCCCACAACAGACATCCTGTGAGGTACGTGGAGCTGAGAGAGCTCTGACAGAAACGGCTCTTTTTCAAGAACAGCTGTGCCAGAATTATGGCTTGCCCAAGGTCATCCAGCCAGGTGCAAGTGGAGGAGTGGGGAATCAAATCCTGTTCTCCCAGATTAGAGTCCGTGCACTTAACCACTACACAAACTGGCTAGCACAAATAGCACACAAGGTAAGCACATTTAACCCTATAATGACTGAATTTTAGACCTTGCAACACACATATTTCCAATACCCTCCAGCATCCTTGTTCATAATTTCACATTATTCAAAAGCAGCTTTATCAGTACAATGGTACATGCTGAGCAGAAACAATGTGATGCTTCTCGCCATGCTCTCCTGCATCAAAAGAGTGTAATTTGCTTTGGCAGAAACCTCTGTATTGTACTGGTTGTGTCCTTGAAAGAAGAAATAGCATGCACTGTACCTAAGGGAGTCATTTTAGCAACCTCAGTAAGCCACGTAAATGGCAACCTTTACTTGGTGTAACTAGATCTTAGTGAAGATGACCGAATTAGACTCTGCCAGATGAAGAGAGGTGGATCTTTGCAACCCAACACCAGGAGTATTATAAGGTACATACCAATCGTGCTCTCAGTTGACACAAACAATAATGACGACGACCTGAATAGCTAAAATGTTTGCACAATTATGCTATCTCCAGTGCAGGGACAAATGTCATGTAGAAAAGGATAGGAAAATATTGGTAAGGTTCCATTGAGCACTTTGCCAGAGATCTGAGAAGTAGACAGTGTATTAAAACCATTTTAGAAGCAAACAGTTATTTGGGTAGATTTGAAATAAATGCTGTTGGGATGGGGGGGTCAGTGGGAGGGGAAAAGAATCTCTGAAACCTCCAGGTAAAGAGGTAAGACTGGCTTAATTCTAATGCATGGATGTGCTATTAAATAAACATGGTCCATCTGTTGCACCGTCTGTTAAATTTGGATACAATTAATTTGGCAGACACCTAGCAGTGTTGTTAAGTTTCAATAAGTGAATGTTGAACATTTATAATGTGCCATGCTTTAAATATTTACTTAGATTCTTAAATTCTGTTTTGTGCTTTTTTGAAAAGCAATTTTCTTGGGTGTAAATAAGCAGAAAAGAATGATGCTTTGGCTGTATGACAGAGGTAATTTTGCTGCTGGTTTCATTTTAGATCTCTGAAGGCTGCGTTAGGGAAGTGCAACTTGCTTATGTACAAAGGATGAATATGGAGACTCTGTTAAGGACAAGCGACTTTGATAAAAAATATCTTTAAATCATTGTCAGAAACATATTGACAATTTTAAGTATGTTTCAAGAAAGCTTTTGGGCAAAAAATACATTCATGGAAATGAGCTTGTATCCTAAGTGCAATACTGAAAAGCCGCAAATTAACAAACATATACATGATGTTGTCCAAAATAACAACTGTAAGGACAATTTGGGTATACCTTTTTGAATTTTGCAATGTCCAAACAAATACATTCTGCCTTATCTTATCCAAACCCAGCAGAACCCATGGGAGCATTGCTACGGGGCGGGTTTTTTTTTCACTTTTGAGTTTTTAATTTTTTTTTCTGAAGAGTTTGCTAGAAACAATTTATGTGGTGGGTGATCAAATCTGTAAAATAATTCATTGCTAATGAAGCAGAATCAGCCCTGGCCAGTATTTGTATGGGAGACTACCGGGGAAACGCAGGGTTGTCACTACACAGAGGCAGGCAATGGCAAACCACCTCTGAATGTCTCTTGCCTTGAAAACCCTACAGAGTCGCCATAAGTCAGCTGTGACTTGATGACAAAAAAAAGAAAAAGATTTCTTTAAATGAATTAAATTGTTAGTTCTGAATTATTCCCATATATACTGCACAGATGTAAAATGTGGGAGATGTGTGGTTGTGATTCTGGATAAATCTTTTAACATCTGGTGGGTTTTTAAATCATACAAAACTACCTGGTTCATCTAGATCTTCTAAATGCTTTGCACATGAAGAAATATTGCTCCAATGATAGATGCCAACTAAAAGCCCTTCATCATTTTGACAGCAGGAAACTGCCAGTTCTGAGATGGTGAAAACCCTTGTCCCATATTACAAAACAACACAGCTTTGCTTTAATTCATGCTTTGTACTATTTAAATTGACCTTCCAGAGAGCAGCTGTGTTACTCAGCTGCTTCTAAAAGACTAACAAATTTATTGTGGAATGAACTTCCAAGCCAGAGCCCACTTCATAAGATGCATCTTGTTTTGGGGAATTATGTACCTACAGAATTTTGTTTCTATGCAGAATTATTGGACATCTGTTGTCCAGTTCCTGGGTAAATAGTATCCGTTTAGAAACAAATTGCTAACCAATTTCTAGTTCTATCTGCTTTAATAAAGTACAAGGATTTCCCGACACATATTGTTAGGGAGCCTCCTAGTGGTAGGGATTTTCTGCTTGGAAGATCTATTTTATTTATTCACTGCAGAGGCAACAACTAACAGGCTTGGTTTGTTATTTATTTATTTAGACAGTGGTTGTTGATTGTGGCCTCCTTAGTAGTATTTGTATCCTGGTATTTGCCAGACTCTGCGAACTGCTGGTTTTAGCTATACTGTTGCTACTAGTCCTGCCCTCCGTAGTAGCATATTTTCTCAGAAGAATGTAATGTGATAAATGCCTCTAAGTGCTTCCTTTTCTCATATTTATTGGGTTGAACTTGTTTCTGGATTGGGGAACTTTTTGCAGGGAAAAACAAACATATTTAGGGGCTTTTTTCAATATAAATAACAGAGTAAGCTAATAGTTTAACGGTTATAGTAACACACAACTAACTTGGCTAGGGTTGTCCATATTTCTTACAAAGGGGTGTGGAAAATAATCTTTCTGCTTTCTTTCAGACTAAGACAACTAAAGAAGATTGTGAGGGGGGAATGGAGTTTGTCGAATGAGTGGACTTTCTGAGGATCTGGAGAAACTTCACAAAAATAGGCATTTTTGCAAAGGAATACAATTCCTTGAACATTGTATGGGTTGCACTAATTAGAAGAATAGAGATCCAAGTGTAAGATGATTTATATGAACTTTGTTTAATTAATTTTTTATAGACTGTTTTCCAACTAAATATGTCCACAAGCTAGGGTTGCCAGGTCTGGGTTGGAAAACACCTGGAGACTTTTGGGGGTGGATCCAGGAGAGGGTGGTCAGCATGGTACAATGCCATAGAGTCCACTCTTCAAAACAGCCATTTTCTCCAGGGGCAAACAATGATGAAAACAACAATGATGTAGTATTATGAAAATATATTTAGACTGCTGTTTTGCAGTGAGTAGTGTTTCTTCAGCAAATAATAAAGATGTACACGTACACACAACAGAATTTGCATATACTCCCGTTTCACATGACAGCTTTTTCTCAGTGTGCTGCATAAGTAACATTAATTTACACGTCAACAATTCTAATCTGTGAATTAACACTCAACATTCTTCCCACTCCTAATACTACATCACGGTTGTTTTCATCATTGTTTGCATCCTTCCCATGATATCGCTGTTGTTTCTACTATTTTCTCCAGGGGAGCTGATCTTTGTCAGCTGGAGATCAGTTGTAAAAGCATGAGATCTCCAGGCTCCACCTGGAGGCTGGGAAGCCTACCACAAGGTGGTTTATAATATAGTTGTCCAGAGCCAGTCCCTCTCTTGCAGAATTCAATGTAGCTTACATTATAACAGTTATTAAAACACATTTAAAAACAATATAAATAAAACAATTATTTAAAAAACACACATAAAAGATCACACTTCAGATTTTAAAATTTGACTTAGGGTAGGAGGACCCCTCACCAAACCATGCTGACAGCCAACAGGAACCAAGTCTTTGGCATGGGTCAGGGAGACTTTCCAGTTCAGAAAGACACTAGAGGGAGCCACATGGACCTGTGGCAACTGGCAGCTGGCAAGAAGCCCCCAAAACTGGGGAATCCCCCACTTGTAACTGGGAAATGGCAAACCTAGTCTAGAGATTAAAGGGATAGGACTCTTTTTCTCCAAGAAGTTGACAACCTTAAGACTCCTCTCTCTTGGCTTCCATCATGGCAGAGGAGCCAGTCCATTTTCCTCCTTCTTGGCTTCTAGCTGTGAGAGCTGAAATAGCCCTTTCCTTGATCCCTGGTCTTGACCACCCTCAAACAGTGACATTGCCACGTAATGTCCCCGATGTGCTAATGTCACATGGAAGTGATGTCATTGTGTCAGGGGCGTCATGTGGTGACACTCTGGTTTTTGGGCAAAACTCTATGGTTTGATGCCAATTTTACCATAGAGTTTTGCCCAAAAATGAGAGCATCTCCCCACTCCCAGAAAGTTCCCTCCCACTCTCCACTGGCACGGACATTGGACCTGGTAAGCCTACTCTAGGCTAATGGGGTGTTATTTACCAGATGAAGTTATTTCCTTCCACGCTATGAAAAGCTTTAGTAGGCCATTTCCACATGTTAAGCCTCTGTTAAAGAGACAGGGCATTTTTTCTCCCAACACTTCTTCAGACCCATCCTCAGCTCCTGAAGGAAGAATTCCATAGGCAGCAGCTGTCAGAAAATTCCTTTGCCATGTTACTGCCAGCTAAACCTCCACTAAGGCTGATTCCGGAAGGGAGATTACTTGGGCTTTCCTCAAGTCTTGGGTTAGCTGATAGGGATGGAGAGGGTTATTCATATACTTTGAGCCTAAGCCATTTAAGGCTTAGGCTTAAAGTAAAAACCAGCCCCTTGGATTGGGCCTGGAAACAGAATGGAAGCCAGTGTAAATCACTGGTTTAATATGATCACCCTGGTGCATCCCCATAAGGACCACAGCTACCCAGGGGTCGTTTCGTAGAAAAAGAGCTAGGGGAACTCATTAGCATAACTCATTAGGATATGCCACACCCCCTGACATCACCGGAAGTGTGTCATAAGGCCACACCCCCTGACATCACCGGAAGTGTGTCATAAGGCCACACACCCCACCTCCAACGGTCCCGGCTGCCGCCCTTGCAGCTCCACTGCCGAGCCCCATGAGGGGCCCGGTGGTGGACCTGCAAGGCCGGCGGGAGTGCAAGGAAGCCCCGCGAAGGCCCTCCCTGGCCCCAGGCAGGCAGGGGTGGGGAGAGGCAGGGAGGAAGCAACTTACCCTCCCTCTTCTCCTGCCTACTCCTGGCTGAATGAGGGCCGGAAGCGGGGTGGCCGGAAGCAGGGGGCGGGGCTTCGTCATGTGCCCCGCCCCCCGTACCTCACCCGGGGGAACTGCGACCCCCCGCGATCCCCCCCGAAATGACCTCTGCAGCTACCACATTTTTGACCAGTTGAAAATTCCAAACCGTCTTCAAGAGTAGCCCCACACAGAATGTGTTACAGTAATTAAGTCTAGCAGTTACTAAGAGAAGTGTGTCTGTAACTTTTAAGTGTTCAGTTTCTCCAGGAAAGCTAAATGGTGGTGAACCTGTCTTAATTGGTAAAGATGTTCTGGGCTACTTCTGATCCTTTGATGTGTAAGACAATGTTGAATCTAGAACTACACCCAAGTTGTGCACCTCATCTTTCAGGAGGGCTACAGTCCCATTCAACATTTGGAGAACCTCCATTCCTGGATCAGCTTTAGTTTCCCATTAGCAGTACCTCTGTCTTGTCTGGATTAAGCTTCAATTTATTAACCCTCATCCATTTACTTGCTTTTTCTAGACATTGGTTTAACACTTCCACTGCCTCCTTGGATTATGATGGGAGAGAGAGAGAGAGCACTCTGTCACTTGCATAGTGATGACATTTGTGCTCCATATTTCCAATGGATCTCCAGCAGCTTCATGTATATGTTACAAAGTACTGAGGACAACATCTATGCTTGCGATGTCCCATAAGCCAATGACCATGGGCTGAACACCACTTTCTGGTACCTGCATGACATGAAGAAATCAAACGACCAAAATACCGAGTTTGCCAGACTCAACCTAGCTAAGCTGGTTTCTTTAGGAGGGGGTCTGACTGTAGCCTCCTTTCACACTGCAGGTCTTCCTATAGTGAATAATTAATAATTAACACCAGTTTGGCAACCTCTCTTTGGGCAGTTTCAGCTGGGCAGCTATGAACAGCATGAGTCTAATGGACAGTTGGGAAGCCTCAGCTTTCCAGATATCCCGTTCATGTCCTTAAGTTTAATTAATTAAAAAGTATCCCTATGAACTGGAGAAGACAAAATCTTGCTTAGTACAGAGTCCAAGTTGGATGAGATGCAAGCAATTTTATCCACAAAATGCCTAATAAAACTGTGGGGAGCCCACTGTCTGATCTTGGAGAAAGTCTCAGCTCAAGGGAGAAGGTGCTCAAGAGCAATGACTTAAATTGCATGCAGGGCATCCCTGTTTCAGAGGCCCTCTAGCTCTTCCACAGGACTGCTGGTCATAGCAGCAGGAGAATCTACCAGAGCAGTCAAGAAACCATTTGAATGTATCCTTCTCCAAGGGGAGACCATCCTAATTTAAACTGAATCTTAACCCTTGGACATGTTTTAAATGCAGCAGAAAAAGAGAACCAATCTTCAGACAAGGTGGCAAGCAAATCATGTCTGTTTATTTACTGAAGCATTCCAGGTATTTTGCATTTAAACTATTGCATACTCCTCATCACAAGAACATTGTTATTTTTGTCTCTTTTCCTTTTGAGAGAGATTTTACATTGCTTGACACTTTTTGCAGTTCACCTCTTCAAGTGTTTTTTTTAATACAGTCACAAATGTATTTGCACCTCTGTGTTGCAACAGTTCACCTGTTTTAAACACCACAGTTCAGTCCTACTGCATTTAATAATTTTTAAAACATCATATCAGACCAGCTGCAAAATGCATTTTTCTCACCATAGAGCAGTTAACAACTTCTCCCATGTACCTGGATTAGTGGGTTAGGCAGGATGGTGTCACCTCCTTGTAGATTGACCCCCAGCACTTCACTGTTTAGAAATTAAACACTAGAGCAGGACATAGCAATAGGAGATTGCTCCCAAAGGCTACCTGATAAGTCAAGACTATATTGCCCTTCTCTACTTGTTTCCATTTTCACATCTGTGACAACAGCCCCTTGTGTGATATTAGTTGCTCTATATCTTCCCCTGTCACCTTTTCAGTGTCTCTGTGTTCATCCGGGCTGCTAATGGGGACTAAACCCTGGAGGCCCATGGAGCCAGGCCAAGGAATTCATGGGATTTGTTATCACAGGATATTTGAATTGGGCATGAGTGGAGGGGGTGGGGACAGGGGGAATCTTTGGTGGTGGCTCTTGGCAGCCCTGTTGCTAATGAGAGTTGGTGGTTTCCCCAAGGATGTAAGGAGAAGCCCTGGAACATAGTTGCTTCTAGATAGTATTGCCTCAAATTAGCAACAAAAGGGGGGAGAGAATGCCAAGACACTCAGTCAACGCCCCTCTCCATTACGCTTCTTCTGCAGACAGGCAGAACTGCAGAACAAAGCTAACTGCAGGAAGTTATAAAATGAAGGATATAAATATTAACCCAGGAATTTGTCTTGAATAATTTTAGGATGGACATTTGTTTTCCTTTGTATACCTGTGCGTGCTGCTAATATTCATTACAGAATATGTGTAATATTCATTACAGAAACAATCCATTTTGATTATGCAGTTTTTTCCCCCTAGAGCCAATGATTTTTAAATGTGCTGCTTATTGTTATTGTTTTAATCCTCCACGTTCTTTTTCTGTTCTTCTTTGCTAACACTAGTTTAGGTGTGTCCCAGTTAAGCCCCCCTGCAAATGTTGGGCTCATTTGCCCTTCCGCAGCCCACCTTAAGAACGGAACAGGCAGAAACAGTTCTACCTGCTTTCTTGAGCAGGTTTTCTGTCGGCTGCTAGGAAATAGTTTCACATGGTTAAGCAACTGTTCAAATTACTGGGAAGCCATAACAAATTGCCCACCCTATGTTAAAATAGCTTATGAAAATCCTCATTTTCTCCTGTATATTATAAATTAGTTTATTCCAATTATTCCAATTTTTACTGCTACATTACAGTCATAGCCAGCAGCATCCATATTAACAGTTTTCTGTGTGATCTTATGCTCAGTTCTGTCCTTCTCTGTTTAATACAGCGGTTTTTTTGAACTTGCAGGAGAGGAGAATTTACCTGGGAGGGAAGGACACCACCCCCAAGTCTACCCATCTGAACTGCGCAGCTTGGATGAACTCTTCTATAAAGGCTAATGTGTCACTCAGGGAGACATTACAAGGGCTGTGGGCATTGCCTATAAGTGTGATTCACATTTTTCTATTCTGGGACAACATGGTCCTTTGCTGCTATATGTGCAATTCTGCAGTGTTTGATACAAACACCAGATGATGAACTTTTCTACAGTACTAGGTCTTCTAGTTTCTATAGCACAGATAGCATTCAGCACATATTGGCAACTCTCTCCTACAGCAAGGTTACCGCTATTTAAAGTAAGAGGAAACATAATTGTAAATTCCCCAGAGATGAATGGGAGCATTTCAGAGTACAGGTTAAACTTTTAGCTCTGGGACGCTGCAATGGAATTTTCTTTGGTGAGGATCCATCTATTAATCTGATATAGAAATTGCCATTCTGAGCCAGACTGTGGCCAGACTTATGTGCTCAGCTGGTAGGCCCTGTTACCTTAGTTTGGAACCACTGTTATATACAGCTTAGTAGACCAATGGCACATATCAACATATGTATTAAACTGTAATCCTTCTGTTGCAATTACTTCAACCATAATTTCTGCCTCATAGCAAATAAAGACTTCCAAGAGAAATGGTTAAAGCCATGTAGGGCTTGCTGAAGAAACATTAGTTCACATTGCGTCCAGAAAAGTTTGGAAACCAGAATCACTTCTTCTGCAGAAGTGTATTAATGCGGTCCCCAGCAACTACCATTTGCTAAATGAGCACATTGCACCTGTTGTGGCTTCTGTGAAAACTTCAAGGGTGGCTCTGTATGCAGCACATTGCAGTAATACTATCTGGCTTTCAGAGAACTGTGAAAAGGGCTGAATGTAAAGGAAATGCTTGTAATCATTCTACCAAGCACAAAATGGTGAGGATGCTTTTGGCCACTGATGCCTACTTCAAGGTTTTTTGAGCAAATACAGACCTTCCCAAAGCCGCTAACGTGCAGTCCTAAGGGACTGCCGATTTAGGTAAGGGTGTAACTCAGTCTAGGATTATATTGTGATGCTGTAATCATTTCAGAGTTCCTTCTCAACATGGGTCACATGACACCCCTAATGCTGATGGTTACAGAGAAAACATTGTAAGAAATAACACATTTCCCTTTTTCTTAGCTGAAAATGGGAAAGCTTAACCATTAGTTGGCTCGTTAGACCTGGAAAGAGACTGAATAGGTCATGTCTAACTGACTGCACTTTAGCAGAATTTACTATATGTGGCATGCTAGTTTACCCCTAAAAAAACCCCAAATCAAAAGGACATTCCTGAGATTCTTTAGCCACCTGAGGCACCTTGTTCCACTGGTCCAGCTGGCCTTGATTTGGATATTTTCAGAGACTTCCTTATAAATCAGCTCACTGAGAATAACAAGTTTACAATGCTGTTGTTACAGACTTCACTTTTTAAAAGCTTTGAAATGCTGTACAAACAGAGTAAAGAACTGTGAAGGGTTCATTCTTCACAGAAACAAAGATCCTTGAGTGACAGGCTGCTCCAAGCAATCTGACTGGTTAGCATCAGCTGAGCAGAGAAAGACTTGAGAGCTACATGCTGAGGAGAGAGTCAGTCAGATTTCTGCCTTGACTGAGTACTGACAGTCTAATTTCAGCCCTAGCTGAGAAGCGTCAAGTACTGACAGTTTCAGATTTCAGCCTTGGCTGAGAGCAGTTAAATACAGACAGAGAACAGGAGGGAATTTGACAAGGAAGTTTGGGAAGTAGGCGAAGACTCCCATTTAGGCCAAAGAAAGGGGCTAGATCTTCTAGAGAGAGATTTCCCTACCCAGTCAAACACGGGGTTAGCTCTGAAGAGTGGAGAGATCTCTGGTCTGGTGTGGTTAGAAACTGTGGGTGAGGTCAGACATACAGTTTGATCTGGTGCCATTGCTGTTCCCTTCCAGATTTAAAATGCACGATCAGACAGCAACATCTGTCTCATCTGCATCCTATTCCCCCCCTTTACTGCATGTTTATTTGACACCTGTGGAAGTCCAATTCTTTTGGGCTGAGCTGGTTTCACACTGTATTTCCTGTTGTCTGATCCCTCTGTTGCGAACTCAAGCCATCAGGCAGGTCTAACCAGTCTGTTTTGTTTTCCTGCCCGCCATTTAAAAAAACCTGGTTAGCTATTTGTGCATAACCGTACCTCCACACCCAGGCTGTGAAGCTGAGGGGAGGGACAGGCTGCCGCTGTGTTTTCGGCTTGCCTCTTCTTTGAACAATTTGTCCTGTCAAGCAATTTGTCCTGGCAGGGGAAAGGGCCTGCAGATGAGACAACAGCCTGCCCACTTGCCTGCCCTCTTTGTGACTGCAATCTGATTGATCAACCACAGTGTGAGCATGCAGTGCAGTGATTAAGGGTGGGATGTCTGATTGTGACAAAATACACCTGATTAAATTAGATATGTGGCCAGACTGCGCTAAGCTTGCCGTCTGACCGCAGCTTGTCTATAGAAACCTAAAGAGTCAGTTAAAAACTCAAGACAAGTACTGGTGTTTCAAGATAAGGGATTTGGGTACTGTTAAAAGGGGTACTTCTGGACACTAAAAGAGTCAGAGAATACTCAAAGAAAGTGTACTAGAGTGTTTGGGAAACACTGGAACAAAAGCCTCTCAACATAAAGATTTAAGTCACTGTGAAAAGCATAAGAAACTCTCAATAGCCTGAAACATAAGAACTAAAGTCTGTGCGTGTATTGGTTTTAAGTCAGAAATTTCAAACTCCGATTTCACCCAATCTTTCCCCTCTATGTTAAATAAAATATTTTGTTATTTTTAAATTTCAAAACGCCCTGAATGCCATTTAAGTTGTTTAAGTTAAAGTGGGCTCCGGATCCTTCCCTTGGGTTCTGGGCTGAGCCAACACCCAAAATAGCATGTCGTGACAGGGTGGGACAGCTAGAGTTCTTCAGGAAAGAAGAAAACACATTACTAAGGTGGCTCAATCAGCAAAGGGAAAGAAAAATGGAGGGAGAATCTTGCCTCTGAGGGAGGGAAGTGGATGGGGCCGTCATAGCTGTCATGGTACGTAAAAGCAGAACTGATCTAAGAATTCATAGTGCACTAAATGTTAGGAATTCAGATGGATTACTTAGATATATTCTTCACATGTGCATATTTCAAACTAAAAAGCCCCATGTAATATATTTTTATGCAGATTATGAACTAAAGCAATAGATTAATATTAGACAATAGATTAATGTGAACGTATGTCATTAAAATATTTATTTAAATATTTATATCCTGCCTTTCCTTGTAGCTCAAGGCAACTTAAAAACAACTATTTTAAACATACAAAATCCCAGGTAGTCCCCCCCTTGTTCCTTAATTAATCACATAGGCTTTGAGTATGATCTATCCTCATTCAGGGTTACTGAACCCCACAAAGGAGAGTAATGACTGGATCAAGGTATTGATGTGAACAAGGCTCTTACGGGATGTAACTCTCAGTGTGCTACAATGCATATGCATTGAGGCCAAGCAATGGTGGGCCTGAGAACGATACGGTAAGCCCTATGCTGTCTTTTCCCTGTGTACACAGCTACGGATCTTATGCAAACACCAGCATAGTTATAGTGGTTAGAGTGCTGGACTGGCATCCGGGAGACCTAAGTTCAAATCCCTACTCTGCCATGGATACTTGCTGGGTGACCTTGGGCTAGTCACACTTGCAGTGTGATCTACCTCACAGGGTTGCACTTCGTGTGAGCATAAAATGGAGGGGCAGAGAACAATGATGAAAGCTCCTTTGGATCCCCATAGGGAAGAAAAGTGGAAACATTTAAATAAATAAATAAACACCCAAAGTTTAAATTGGAATTATTCAGACTTTCTAAACAGAATAAATGTAAATGTCTGGAACTCAATATATAAATTAGCAATTCAGCATTGATCACACTGTTAGAAAAAGCATGAACTTTTACTAGATTGGACTATCTCTAGCCCATTAGACTTGCTTATTAGCTGTCATCTTGCTTGGTTTTTTTTAACAACTAGAATTTTTGACTGATCCAGATTTCTGGCTGTGTTGGTCTGAAGCAGCAGGACAAAGTCTGAGTCCAGTGGCACCTTTAAGATCAACAAAGTTTTATTCAAGGTCCAAGCTTTCATGTGCATGCACACTTCCTCTAAAGGTGCCAATGGACTCAAATGCTGTTCTACTGAATTTTAGACTGTATTTAAGAACACTAAATCCACAAAAGAGCACTTTCAAAATCCAAACAGTGTAAAAGCCAATGTCATTATTTACCCAAAAAAAAAAAGTACTACAAATTTTGGGATAAAAATGTGATTGTCCTGTTCCATAAAGGTGAAGAATTATTTACAGATGGGCTGATGGGTTTGCTAAGTCTTATCCTGCTGTAAATTCTTCATCAGTGGAGAATATGAATGCCTCAAAATATAGAAGCAAATTTATCAAACGTAATGAGGTGTTTTGATAGCAAGTGGATGTGGATTTTTGAGATTAATTGAATAGCAATGGTTTGTATTCTGGCCAAGCAATCTGTTTATTAGTGTTGGGAAGCCCAAGCCATGGGCCCGGTCTGTCTGTGGGATGTGTCGCACAATCCACCTTTGGAAACCTGATCTGATTAATTTCTAATTTTAACTACGTGTGTCGCATTCAATATAGAAGCAGCTGACGCTGTATAAATCTACTGGCCTGTCAAGCAGCTCAAGTGCGTTGCTAAAGCAAATGTATTTCTTTCAACACAAATGCAAGCTGGAAAGCAGTGCTTTGCTTTTAAAACTTGCTGCCATTGCATTTCAACAAGCAGAAAGGAGCACAACAACCTCCATATACACAAATGATGTGTAACACCCCAAAGTCCTAGAATTTAATGGCAGGGTATAAATCACAAAATACATGATTGATTTACTCTCTCTTTTTTTAGCTTTTACCCCATGGTTAAATGACATGCTATTACCTACCTGTTCGTGTTTTTATAAGCAGTAAAAAAAAATCTTTCTGGTCATACACTCTGTCTTTCGGAAAGGACTCTACAGTACAAATCTGAGTGGCTGCGAGAGATTCATCAATCTCCTTGAATAATGCTGCATGCAAATCACACCGCAAAAAGAGTGGCTTCCATGATCTGAGACTAAGCTGCTGGTGGACCCCTTGAGCTACTGGGTGTGACTCTAATCACTTAGGGATAAATTGAGGAAGTGACCTCAGGGTATGCTCAGATTTCTGTCTTTTTTGTCAGCTGACTCAAGATTACTAGGTAGAACAGCAGGGCTCAAACTGTCAGTGTCAGAAGGTGATAGTTGAGCAAACTCATATACTAAACTCTTGGTGACAAGATGGCCAGTAAACAAAATATATGACATCAGTATATGCATGTAAGACCTGCTAAGATACTGCATATTGCTGTCTGTTTTGACAGAAATTGCCTAAATGAGAAAAGCTTTCCTGCATTTATTTGCCTTTTCCAATATTCCAATAGCTACAGAAACTTCTGCGTTTCAGGATAAAAGGTTAAGTCCCTTTTGGGTAAAACACAACTAGTAAGTAACTGTAGTTTTGATGTAAAGTTTTATTTTTAAAATAACTTGTATGTGAAATTGGTCATAGAAAACGTCACACTGTACTACTATCTGTGAATACCAGTGACACTGCAACATACTGATGCTTAAGGATAAATTTAAAGCATTTAATGCTTATAAACATTTAAGAAGTGCCTTGAGGGATCAGACTACAGTTCACCTAGTACAGTATACCATTTCCCACAGCAGCCAATCACTAGAAGGCACAAAGACCTAAACTTTCCCCTTTTCTTGTCCCCCAGGAACTGGTATTCAGGCCTACACTGCCTCTGAACATGGAGGTTCTATTTAGCCATTATAGTTTTGCCACAGGATGACCTGCTAGGACTCATGTGGGAATGGAAATGTCTTTCCCCCACCAGCCTCCACTTACTCCAGCCCTCTGGCTCTGCTTCCTCTAAGGTTGCCAATAGGCTTGGCAG